AAGTGCTGGGATTACAGGCGTGAGCCACCGTGCCTAGCGCAAACTGCTTTTCTATTAATGAGCTCACAGCAAGTACCAGCCGTGGTAGCTCACACCGGTATTATTCTCTTTGTTTACGGAAGCCTAGGAGAGGCAGTACAGACAGGGCTAGATGATGGCTCAGATACCCAGAGGCTGAACCCACCTGTTCCCCCAAGCAAGAACCTGCCCCTACAATGGCCACTTTGCCTTGGCCACACTGTCCCTGTGGCCTCCCACGGATGCGCTGTGGTCCTGGGCCTATCTCTAGCCCACGGGACCAGTGAGGGAGCACCCAAGCTTTCCTCCCTCCTCCTTCCCCTTCTGGCTCAGCTGTGCATCCCTGGGGACCCCCACCCCCATCAGTGAAACAGCCTGGGCTGCGGAGCCAGGTGCACTGGGTTCCTGCTCTGAAGCTCATCTGCAGCACTGCACCTTGTCTGTAAAACGGAGGTGACCACATCACCCTCCCAACTTGTCATAGGCCTTAGGACCAGCCCTGCTCTTGCTGGCTCTCAAGATGTGGGGAGCATAGGTCCTGGCTTGCCCTGGACAGTCACTTTCCCCTTGTTGTCCTGGGATCACTATTGCCAGGGCCCCCTTTTATGCCCCAAACTGTCCCAGTTTCGACCGCTAATGATACGGTTACCCTTCTCTCAGGGGACCCCTGGATTGGGCTTCAGGGACTAGGCCCGTGGACAGACCAGACTTCCTCTGGGCTTCCTCTCAGCTCCAGCCAGGGTTTGTGTCCCAGTCTCTTTTTCTTTTGAAAAGCATACATTTTCGTTTCATGTAAGTTTCACAGGCCATGGAGCCCTCCAAAGGAAATGAAGACCCTCAGGCTGCATTTTACTCACCTAGAGATGGAGGGGAGAAATCTCTTCCAAAGTCATGTCGGATGCAAAGTCTGTCCGAATCCTGAACTCCCGACTCCCACCTAAGCCTCCACTCTCCTTCCTCCCACACACTCACCACCCATTCGGATGTCCAGACAGGCTGGACAGAATCCTGGGAGCCCGGGACCCAGCGGTCCTGCCCCTTCCCTTGAGAAGGGCTCTATCCACAGGGCCAGCATAGGACCCCCTCCCTATCACACCCTGTCGGGCTGTGGTCCCAAAGCCTGTCCAGTTCTGTCTCTGTACCCATTCCTTTTTTTTTTTTTTTAATTTATTTATTTATTTGATAAAAATCCTCATCTGGAAATACCCACTCCTTAACTTGCCCCACACCACAGGCCTGGGAGGCGCAGTGCAGAGCCCAGAACGCAGAGTAAGCCCGAGAGGGCTCGGCTCACTGGGAGAGGTCCTACCAGGGAGGACAGGAGGTGGGCTGGCCTCTACCTCAAGTAGAAACTCAGAAATGGCCTCTCTCAGCTCTGTCTCTCTGCCCAGGGTCAGAAAGGCTGGCCTGGCTTCCGTCTGAGCCTGGGAGGCCCTGGTGTCCTTCCTGCATGTGGGACTGCCCTAACGCCCTCATCTCTGCTCTGGGGGGTGGGTCCCCAGCCACTGCATGGGAGCATCTGTTTAATCACTGTCCTGCCTGCACCCCCCGCCCCCCCCCCCACTGCTGTCTGCACAGGAACAAGCCATCTAAGGAGCTCGTTGAACCAGCTTTCCCACTTCTGCTCAGGGAGACACCTGCCCCAGTGGGTCCCCAGCAGGCCTGGCCACCTCCTCTGCCCGACTCCTGCCCCCAAGCTCAGAGCCAGAGCTAAGGTGTCAGACCCTTAGCTGAGCCAGAGCCTCTCCAGGAGTCCCTTCCCATCGACTCCCCTGAAGGCCTGACAGCTCACTGGGACCTCCTTCCCTTGTTTTACAGATCAAGAAACCAAGGCCCAGAGAGGCAAAGGCACTCCCCAGGACACACAGCAACCTAGTGGCAGAGCCAAGACTAGCTCTCAGGTTTGTGTCTCCCGGAGTTCTGAGGAGGAGGGAGTTAGAGATAAGGAAAAAAAAAAAAAAAAAGGCGGAAAGCAGGAAAGAGCAGGAGGATACAGCGAGGGGAGAAAGGAGGCTGGGAGCTGGAGAAGGTTCTAGAAGTCAACCTCGTGGAAAAGGAAAGCAAGGCCGGCTTACCCCAGGCCCTCCCTGGTGGTGGGGGGTGACGTTTGCTGTTCCCCAGGCTCACTCCAGAGGTCTGCCTCCTGGCCTCACCCAGAGTCAAACTCCCCACCAAGCCAGGCCTGACCTCAGGGCCTAAGGGCCAGAGAGCCAGCTCCACACCCTGCAGACGTTTTTCCCGAGTTACCAGGCAGCCCCAGGGAGCACCACACCTCTCTCCTGACATCTGCGCTCCCAGCTGTCCCCAGGACTCAGGCACCTGCTGGGGCACCACCCCCCGACTCTCTCCTTAGGCAAGAAGGGAAGCCGCGCTTGGGAAGCAGGAATTGGTTAAACCATGTGAGCGCTGCCCTGGACCCCTGATTCCGCTCCCCTGGCACAGCCAGGGTGCCCCTGTGTGACCCAGGATGAGTCATTTCCCTGGCAGTTCCTTGACAGCCCCAGCAGTAACAGGCAGAGGCCCATCCTGTCCCTCCTCCACAGAGGGGATCATGAGAACTGAAAACATGGCTAGGCTTGGGAAGCGGCCAACATGGACGTGTCCTTGGGGAGGTGGCAGGAGGAAGAGACAGTCCCAGCTGAGCCACAGGCTGTACAACCACCCTTCCGTGGACACTAGCTCCTTCATCTGCAAAATGGGGGCAGGGATCTTCCTGCACCCAGATAGGAAGCTCACAGAGAGAATACACACAGTGGTGAGCTGCAAGGGTGCAACGCTGCAAAGGTCGGGAGGTGAACTTGCAAGGAGAGGAAGACAGGCCCCACTCTGAGCTCTTGTTATCTGGGTCTGGGTCTGTGTCTCCCAAGGGCCTACCAGCTCCTCCAGGGCAAAGCCTGGGGCCCGGTCATCTGTGTGTTCTCAGAAGCCAGCATGACGCCATGCATGACGGGTGAACGAGATCCAGAGAAAATGAATGAACTGACAAGAAGGTAAATATCAAGCTCCGTGAGGACAGAGACCAGGCCTGTCCACAATAGCCCTGCACCTAGAAGCACACTTGACACAGATGCAGAGTTGAAATTCAACATGTTTGGTTGTTGTTTTAGAGACAGATTCTCACTCTGTCACCCAGGCTGGCACTGTAGCCTCCTCCTCCTGCGCCCAAGCAATGCTCCTACTTCAGCCTCCCAAAGTGCTGAGATTCCAAGTGTGAGCCACCGTGCCCAGCCCAACACATTTGTTAAATGAATGACTGAGACAGAAATCAAGGCGAGTTGCTCCATTCTATCCAGGCCATCCCTGTCCCCCCAGGGCCCAGCAGAGAGCCAGACTCAGGATGGGTTTCCCGCCTGCCCTGGGCCTTACCTTTCTGTAGGTGAATGATGTCAGGGAAGTTGGAGAGCAGGCCCTGGTAGAGAGACAGCGTGTCCAGCATCTGGAAGAGGTCATTCTTGGGCTGCTCAGCAAACATCTCGCCGATGGCTTCATAGGTACGGCCCGTGTGAGAAATGGCGCTGTTGAGGGCCTCAGAGCAAAAAGGGGGGTCCATCTGGAAGGAATAACTGATGGCCTGGAAGGCATTGCCCAGCTTCTGGAACTCCTTGCGGAAGCCCCCAACATGTTTGCGCACCAGCTCTGACGCCACAGTGCTGAGCTGCAGGACGCTGTCGTCCATCTTCTTGCTGAAGGCCTTGAAGGCGTCCACGCGATCTTCCACGTCCTGCAGGTCCTGGTGCTCCGTGGGGATCTGGAAGGTGAGCAGGAAGCTGGCACCCACCATCTCATCCTTCTCCGCCCGGCGCTTCCCCATCTTCCACTGCTTGTCATCCAGGCAGCTGAGGAAATGCTGGAAGCCTTCGTACTGGGAGAGCACAGGGTGGCTGGTCATGTGGTCCATCCAGAGGATGAGTCTCCGCTTCCGCTTCTCAATGAAGTCCTCCTCGAAGCGGCCCGTGGCCTGCTTCTCAGGCAGGTGGGGCACCGAGATGACAGTGAACTTGTGTAGCAGGCGGTTATAGAGCCAGTCGAAGTGCTTGTAGCGTCGGTAGACTGGTGAGGCAGCATGGGTGGGTGTGAGCTTGTAGGAGATGTAGCTTTTGATGCCCTTGAACTTGGTCTGCTTGGTGGGGTCCTCCACAGAGCAGGCAAATGGGTGGGGGTTGGCCTTCCACTGGGGGCCACGAGGGCCCATTTCAATGGAGTAGGTCTCCGCGATCTTGGCCATCATGGGCACATCACCCAGGATGAAGGCCTCCACTCCAGAACGCACAAAGCATGAGAAACGGTTGAGGTTACGGCCCACCACACTGCCTCGCTTGGCAGATGCCAGGCTGTCCTGCCGCTCCAGAGGTGGCTTGGGCCGGAAGGCCATGTGCTGGCTGGGGTAGGCACCAGGGTAGGAGAGGTTGAGGGGAGGGTGCCCGTTGGTGCCCAGCCCGCCAGCCCGCGGCTCCTCCACCACGGTACAGCCGTCATCCCAGTCATCCCAGTCATCATCATCCTCCTCCTCGAAGCTACCCTGGTTGGAGAGGAAGCCACCGCCCTCACCACTCCTGGCCACAGTGGGGCTACTGTACAAGCTCACCTGGGTCCCCGGAGAGCCTGCAGGGCTGCTGGAGTAGTCGGCATGGTTTGTACTGACGCCGGAACGGACGATCTCCACATAAGACGCAGGAAAGAGCCCTGTCTCACCACGGCTGTTCTGGCCCTGCAGCCAGCCATCCAGCGAGGTCTCACTAAAGATGACCAGGTCCTCATCCTGCTGGATGCTGATTTCCTCCTTGTTCTCACTGCGAAAGTCATAGAGGGCTCGGCCTTTCAGGGCCATGGCTGGGCAGGGTGGTGAAGAAAGGTGGGAAGGAGGGGGTCCTGGCCAGACCCGGGATGCTCACAAGGGCGTCCAAGAACGAACTCGCGGCTGATGCCACTCACACAGCTCAGCCTGCCTCTCAGGCCCTAAGGTGGAGTCTCAGCACCCACAGATGCCGTCCAGCCTCCCGCTCTTCAAAGCAATGTCCATGGCCCAGAAACGGCCCTATCAGGTCTCCGGGCATAGGGCTGTGAGCAGGGAGGGCTCATGTCCACAGTCTCCTCCTCCCTTATCGGCCCTCGGGGAGTTAGAAGGGAGTCTCTCCTTCCTCCCACTCCCAGAAGAAAAATCAAGTGACCTGAAGAAACCTGCTCTGCGAGGGGAAGAATTCTACACTTTCCACTGGAACAAGGCTCTAAAATAGAAGAGACTCACTCATTCCAGAAACCCGGGCAGGGCTCGGCCGTCCCTCTGGCTCCCAGATCCTTTTGGCCGCTCTGGCTTTGGGAGGCTCTCACATTCCTCCGCAGATCTGCCCCTTCCTCCTTCCACCTCCTCTTGCTCCTGGGCCACTGGGTTTTCGAAAATCCGGAAAATCCAAGAGGGGCGAGGAGAAAAGCAGCAGCCTCCTGAATCGAGTCCAAGGGTGATGCGTCCGGCTTCACGACGAGCCAGGCCGGGAGAACAAGGACTGGGGCTTACACAACAGGCCGCCAACTCTCCGACCCCGGCTGCGCAGCCGGAGCCCCCGCCGGTTCGGGCGCCCTCTCCCCGCCCCACAAGCGGCCAGCTCCAACCCCGGAGGAGGGAGGGGGCGCGACGAGGCGCTCGGGCGACTTCTGGCCACTCGCTGAGTGGTCTCTTTTGTTTGCGCAATTCCTCAGCAGTTTCCGAGCCTGACGCTGACCCTGCTCGGAATCCTAGGAAGCCCGTCCAAAGGTAACCCCAGCGGACACCGGTCCTGCCCCCGGGACGCACGACCCCCGCCCCCCACCCTCGCGTGCCCGCGAACACTCAACAGGAGTTCGGAGAGCGAGCCCCGGCGAGCAGATGGCGCGGCCGGCCGGCCGTCGGTCCGCCCGTCCTCCGCTCGGCCCCGCGGGGCCCGGTCAGTGCTTCCCCCGCGCCCGCAGACCCTCCGCGCCGCCAGCGAGACGGCAGCTCCAAAACAAAAAGGCGATTCCGGGAGGTGGCGTCCTGAGGAAGGAGGGGATCGCCGAAGGGGAGGTGAGGGGTGGGGAGAGGGGGAGGGAGGGGAAAGCAGGCTGGAGGCTCGGGCAAACTCCGCCGCGCTTCCGCGCGTCCCAGCGAGGCAGGACCGGCCGGCTCCGCCCTCCCGCGGGCCCGGGGCGCCGCAGCCGAGCCCCCGCCTACTCCTCCGCGCGGCTTCCCATCTGGCCGGCGCCCCGGCTCGCTGGCGCTCAGTCCGGGAGGCCAGAGGGAGGAGACGACCCGGGAGCCAGGGGGCCCGAGAGCCTCCGGGGCTGCTCCCTGGGACCGCCGCCTCCCCGGCTCTCCCGCCGCCTGTCCGCCCTCGCCGGAGACACCTCACGCCCCCGTGGTTGGAGCGCCGGGCGGGGGAGCTTGCCAGCCGTCGCTGCCTCGCTTCCTGGACTCCGTCATCCTCCTGCCTTTTCCGTGACGCAAATGGAGTAAAACTCAGAAAGTTTGCAAAGCGTGGGGCTGCGAGGAGCACCGCGCCAGAACCAGGATCGGAGGATCGGGGGGTGCGTGGAAAGCCGCGCCAGCTGCGGTGGGGGAGCAGAGTCGCGGACTCGCCTTCCCACCTTCCCATTCCCCACTCCTGCTCCGCCGAGACGGGATGGTGGCGCAGCTCGGAGACTGTTTTCCGGAGGGGCAGAAACGGCCTTCGCGTTCCAGGCATCTGACCTAAGATACCGACAGCTGCGGGTGCAGCACCCTAGCCAGACCGGGAGACACTGTCCTGGGCGACCACCTGGGCTGGGGGGTGGGTGGGTAGTGGGGAACACACTACCCTACATCTGCAGCGACAGGCAACAAGTCTAGGTGCGACCCGGTTCCGGGTTGCTGAGTGGGCAGCAGGGTCTGCATGTCCCGTCCTAGCCAGTGGCAGCAAAGAGAGAGGCGGTCAGGTGGAGAGTCTTCGAGAAGAGGCAAGTGGGATCTGACCCTGGGTCAGTGTATCTGGAACACTTCCGGCACTGGTTCTGCTAGGCACTGTGCTGAGCACTGGGGAGTCCATCACAGGCAGTCGGGGTTCCCACCCTGGAGGGCTTACTGTCCACCCTCTCTTGTCTTTAATTAATCCATTCTGTCTCATTCATTCATTCAGTCAAGTGAGGCACTCAAGAGTACCTACCTAGTCTGCACCAGGCCCCTGAGCTACAAAGAAATAAGACATTATCCTTACCTTCCAAAAGCTCAGATGTGTTGTGACAAGTAGATGCTCCCTGCCCAGTGCGACTAGAGCCGTGGAAAGTGCACGTGAGGGTACCTACCCCAGCCTGGGTGAGGCAAGGATCGAGGAAGGCTTCCTGAAGGAGGAGGTGCCTAAGGTGAGGCAAAGGCTTCAGGAGGTCCTCCTTTCCTGGCTATCCCTGGAGTCTTGTCTGCCCTGTCTAGCTAGATCTTCCCTCCATTCTCTACTCACTTGTTGCAGATTAACTGGTACAAGGTAGTTCTACTAAAGATGGATACCTTTGGCTGTTTCGAGGGACATGGTTCCCAGACCTCTGGCTCCAAAACCCAGTTTCACTGGTTCAGTGAGTGTTCAACTCCTTTTGCAGGTCTGGCATTTGACCAGAATAAAGGCCTATGTACGAACCCCAGAAGCCTAGCTATTAATTTGCACAGAGAAATAAAACTGCCAAGCAGAACTGAATTTCTGCATCAATAGATCAAGGCAATTTGGGCTACTCCTTGGGAGGCCCAGTTACCAGAAAGTTAGCTCAGTGAGCCTGGAACCCCCAAGAGGGGAAAAGGTGTGACAAGTTTCTCAGTCAAGTACTTTACAGTCTTGTTTCCTGGCCTGGCGTGGTGGCTCACGCCTGTAATCCCAGCACTTTGGGAGGCTGAGGCAGGCAGATCACAAGGTCAGGACTTGGAGACCAGCCTGACTAACATGGTGAAACCCCGTCTCTACTAAAAATACAAAAATTAGCCAGGCGTCGTGGCACATACCTATAATCCCAGCTACTTAGGAGGCTGAGACAGGAGAATCACTTGAACCTGGGAGGCAGAGGTTGCAGTGAACCTCGATTGTGCCACTGTACTCCAGCCTGGGTGACAGAGCAAGACTCCGTCTCCAGGAAAACAAACAAACAAAAAAAAATAGCATCAGCCAGGTAAGGTGGCCAGGAGTCAGAGGCTAGTGAGCCAAGATCGTGCCATTGTATATGGCATTATACTCCAGCCTTGGGGACAGAGTGAGACCCTGTCTCCCCCCAAAAAAGATTTTAAAAACGCATCTACTTCCTTAGTGCTTGCTGAGTGCTAGACACTCCTGTAAACACTTTATTAGCTTACTCAATACAATTGGGATTTCTATTCACCCAATAGGGTCCCCCTCCAGCCCCACCTCCCTGAGGCATCCTCAGCTGCCACCCTTGACGGCCGTTAGTTGCTTCCCAAACAGTCACACATTTACAGGCCAGCCATCTTGGATTTACTTCCACATGTGTTCTGGCTGGGTGTTTTGTAACTCTCAGGTGCCACCCTTTTTTCCAGGTTCTTGGGAAGAACTCACTCTTCAGCCTCACAGAGGTTTCCAGAACCTGTATTTTCCCATTTCCTCCCCTCCAGGGACCTCCTTCAGGCCTAGGGGTAACAGAGTCCCATGTTACCAGTCTCAGGAAACTGCACTAACCCTTGTGATCTCCCTGTACCCTGCCCATTCCTATGGAAATAGTCCCTTTACGTCAAGTCTCACATTATTCTTTTTTTTCTTTTCCTTTTATTTTTGAGACAGGGTCTCATTCTGTTGCCCAGGCTGGAGTATAGTGGTATAATCATAGCTCACTGTAGCTTCAACCTCCATGGGCTCAGGCGATCCTCCCACCTCAGTCTCCCAAGTCGCTGGAACTACAAGTACACACCACCACACCAAGCCAACTTTTGTATTTTTTGTAGAGACGGGGTTTTGCCATGTTGCCCAGGCTGATCTCAAACTCCTGGGCTCAAGCAATCCTCCTGCCTCAGCCTCTCAAAGTGCTGGGATTACAAGTGTGAGCCACCACACCCAGCCTCTCACATTATTCTCATTGGGGTGTGTTCTCTCTTTCCTGCTGGGACCCTGATTCATACACAGGAAACAGCATCCATCCTTCACCCAGGCATCCAATTTTCATCCTTTAGGAAAGGAGACAGCAAGGGAGAACGGTGCCCAGTGGTTTTCAGACCGACCCTGCTGGTGGCAGCCTGCAGGATACACTGGGCTGTTATTGTAGGAATGCAGACAAAAGATGATGAGGGCCTGACACCGGGCAGGGGGAACGGGGCTGCAGAGAAGAAAATGGGAGAGCTTTTGGAGGTAGAACAGACTGGAATCGCAACCAGTAAGTTGTGGTTGTTGAGGGAAGTGTCAACCCACATGCTTAAAAAATATTTTTTGACTCCACTTTCCCCACCAGCTATTGCCCCATTTCTCTGCTCACCTTTGCAGCAAAATTCCTTGAAATAGCTATCTATACTAGGTGCCTCCAATTTCTTTTTCCTGTTCTCTGTTTAAATCACTCTAGGCAGCTTTTTACTCCCACACTCCACGGAACTATTCTTGTCAAGGTCATCAGTAGCCTCAGTGTTGCTGGACCCTATGGTTATTCTCAGTCTTTCTCTTATTTAGTCTCTCGGTAGCGTTTGACCTGGTTGATCACTCCTTCCTCCTGGATACACTTTCTTCATCTGCACTGGCAAGAACGTACTCTCCTGGTGTCCCTTCTACCACCTGGTTCATCCTCTGTCCTCTTCTCTTCAATAATTGTTTTTTTTTTTTCTTTTCTTTTAATTGAGATGGATTCTAGCTCTGTTGCCAGGCTGGAGTGTAGTAGCACAATGTTGGCTCACGGCATCCTCTGCCTCCCAGATTCAAGCCTGCTTCAGCCTCCCAAGTAGCTGGGACTACAGGCACACGCCACCACGCCCGGCTACTTTTTGTAATTTTAGTAGAGACGGGATTTCACCATGTTGGCCAGGATGGTCTCCATCTCTTGACCTCATGATCCTCCCACCTCAGCCTCCCTAAGTGCTGGGATTACCTGCTTGAGCCACCACGCCCAGCTTCCAATAATTCCTAACATTAGAGTGACCACAGCAGAGTGCTGTTGTCTTTTGTATCCATAGTCACTCCTATGATGGCCTCATCCAGCCGAATGACTTCAAATATCACTCATGCTAGTAATGCCCAATTTTTAAAATCTCCAGTCCTTTTAAAAAAAACTCCTGGGCCAGGCATGGTGCCTTATGCCTGTAATCCCAGCACTTTGGGAGGCTGAGGCAAGCAGATCACCTGAGATCGAGAGTTCGAGACCAGCCTGACCAATATGGAGAAACCCCATCTCTACTGAAAATACAAAGTTAGCCAGTGTGGCGGTGCATGCTTTAATCCCAGCTACTCAGGAGGCTGAGGGAGGAGAATTGCTTGAACCCGGGAGTGGGAGGTTGCAGTAAGCCAAGATCACACCACTGCCAGCCTGGGCAACGAGAGCAAAACTCCATCTCAAAACACACACACACGCACAAAACACCTCCTAACTCAAATATATTTCTCCTTGACATCTCCCCTCAGAAGTCTAATGGATGCCTCCAACCCAACATGTCCCAGATTAAATTTCTGAGCCGGGCATGGTGGCTTATGCTTGTAATCCCAGCACTTTGGGAGCCTCAGGTAGGAGGATCACTTCAGCCCAGGAGTTCAAGACCAGCCATGACAACATAGTGAGACTCCCATCTCTATAAAAAATTTAAAAATTAGTGACCAGGCGTGGTAGCTCATGCCTGTAATCCCAGCACTTTGGGAGGCCAAGGCAGGTGGATCACCTGAGGTCAGGAATTCGAGACCAGCCTGACCAACATGGCGAAACCCCATCTCTACTAAAAATACAAAACTTAGTGGGGCATGGTGTTGGGCACCTGTGATCCCAGCTGCTTGAGAGGCCCAGGACTGTAGGAGGCCGAGGCGGACGGATCGCCTCAGGTCAGGAGTTCGAGACCAGCCTGGCAAACACGGTGAAACCGATCTCTACTAAAAATACAAAAATTATGGTATGGTAGTGTGTGCCTGTAGTCCCAGCTACTCAGGAGGCTGAGGCAGGAGAACAGCTTGAACCCAGGAGGCAGAAGTTGCAGTAAGCCGAGATTGTGCCACGGCACTCCAGCGTGGGCAACAGAGCAAGACTCCATCTCAAAAAAAAAAAAAAAAAATTAGATTTAAAAAAGCAAACGATCTGTAATAGTTTTCTGTTTGTTTTAGAGACAGGATCTTGTTCTGTTGACCACGCTGGAGTGCAGTGGCGCAATCTCGGCTCACTGCAGCCTTGAACTCCTGGCCTCAGGGGATCCTCTCCAGTCTTACCTCCAAACCCCCACCAGTAGCTGGAACTATAGGTGCTGCCACCATGCCTGGCTAATTTGTTTTTTCCCCCATAGGGACTGAGTCTCACTATGTTGCCCAGGCTGGTCTTGAACTTCTGGGCTCCAGAGATCCTCCCACCTTGGCCTCCCAAAGTGTTGGGATTAGAGGCATCAGCCACCATGCCCAGCCTGGTGATGTTTTTTTAAACTGGCTAAGTTCATGAGTATTTATTATTTTTTATGTATATTATTATTATTTTTTTTTTTTGGAGACAGGGTCTGGCTCTGTTGTGCAAGCTGGGGTGCAGTGGCACGATCATAGCTCACTGCAGCCAACAAGCCCTGGATTCAAGTGATCCTCCTCCCTCAGCCTCCCAGGTAGTCAGGACTACAGGCATGCACTACCATGCCTGGCTAATTCTTTAAGATTTTTTAGAGGCGGGATCTCGCTTTTTTTTTTTCCCCCCTAGGCTTGTCTTGAACTCCTGGCCTCAAATGATCCTCCCACTCCTGGCCTCAAATAATCCTCCCACTTCAGCCTTCCAAAGTGCTGGGATTACAGGCGTGAGCCACTGTGCCTGGCCCCCAAATATTGTATTGTAAAAGACAATAAAAAGAATACAAAACAAAAATGATCAGAGAGAAGCTAGGTGGTGTCAAATGCCTGGGCAAAAAGGGGTTAGGTCTGCAGCGCTACACTCAGATTAATTTACGGATGCAACTAGCCCAAACAGCATTAAATTTGCTAACTCAATGCTTGGTGGCCAGAGATGCATGTCAAGATAATTCATTTGAGCACAGACTAAAGGATTTGGACTTGTACTTATAGTCCAAGTTTCTCAAACTTGCTGTTTTTTATGAATCATCTGACACTTTCGTTAATAATACAGATTTCCAGGCGGCTCCCTTATAGATCCCGATTCTGTGCTCCTAGGAAGCAGCCAGGCAATCAGTATTTCATGAGTTCGGTGCCACCTGGTCCAACTTGACAGTGAAAAATCGCTCCGCCTGCCAGGTGAGCGGATCAGCTGAGATGAGTTCGAGGCCAGCTTCACCAATATGGAGAAACCCCGTCTCTACTAAAAATACAAAATTAGCCAGCGTGGCAGCCCATGCTTGTAAATCCCAGCTACTCAGGAGGCTGAGAGGAGAACTGCTTGAACGTGGGAGGCGGAGGTTGCAGTAAGCCGAGATCACGCCACTGCATTCCAGCCTGGGCAAGAAGACAGCAACTCCGTCTCAAAAAAAAAAAAAAAAAAAGGACCTGACGCTGGCAGCCGGGGGGAACCACCAGCTCATCCCGCTCCCGCAAGCACTCCCACGGCACCGCAGGAGCCCAGTCAGCAACGTAAACCCAACCAACAAGCCACAGTCACCCGTCTTCCCCAAAAATGGCCTCTTCAGCTCTAGCGGGGAAGACTGTAACAGTCCCCAAAGGGCATCAGTCTAGGCGGAAATGATGCCTGCACAA